ATGCTCTAAGTGAGGTCTGATCAGCAAACCACATCACTGTAGTCATTTAATTCAGATGAGTGCAACATGTTTCAAGGCAATGTTCAGTATCATAAATATACTGTAGCATTACTCTAGTCTAAGCCATTTCACTTTTTCCAGTTGATTTAAACGGTAGTCACTCTGTTCCATTATCCAAGGAGACTTTGCTCTTGACTTTGAGGGTAACTTAGTTCTCCATGAATTTAGCGACATATTGATATTCAAAAAGAAAGCAGCTGAACATGTCTGGCTTAGCATTGGAGTTGGGACGCACCCAAATATGATATAACCCATTTAATTTCCACCTTCTAAATGCTAGACTTTCTGAGCTTCCAGTTCCATAGCTACTGGCATTCGAACATACAAATCAATCACGTGTGTTGTTTATTTTACTGACAGGGGACCTAAACAAAATCCATTAATGATTCACTTCATCCTGTTTCTCTCTCAGTAATACCTGTGGACAGAGTCAACCTAGAATATGTAAGTTCAATGTTCCAACAAGGTGCTTGTTGGGACATTGAACACATATTTGTGGGCAAAATATGGCAGCCAATTGCACACAGCAGTATCTCACAAACAGTCATGGATTGAGTGAACAAATTATTATTTTTTTGAAGGGATTATTACCTCCGAAACGCAATCTGCCAATCGACTAACAATCCTACTTACTGTTAGGTAAACAGAGGCGTGTGGGGTAAGGAAACTTGCCTTACATTTCGCCCTGCCTGGGAATCGAACCCATGTCCTCTCGCTTGCGAGGCGAGTGCTCTAACCACTGAGTTACAGAATGATCGAAAGTGGTTGTGATGGGACCCTATAAATGCTAAAAGAAATTAGTGTCGGTGGAAAATTGAAACAAACGAGGTACTTTTGCAAAGGATGTGGTCAGAATGTGAGCACTGCACTTAATCCTGCATTGGAATAAGAAAGCAGGGGAACTAGACATCATTAGCCACAGTCCCCAGAGAAGCCATCGGACTGTCATGTTTACTGTAAGCAAATGTATCAGATACCTCAACTGTGTGCATCTCCTCCTCTCGCTGCTGGGGCACATTCTTTCGAGCTCTTATTTTGCTATATTTGTGCCTCTGTGCCATTGTGTTCAGTTGTTAACACTCTGGTCGCAGGCTATGGGTTCAAGATCATAGTCCAGGCTGAAACTCCAGTGCAGTAATGACGGACCGTTGCATTGTCAGAGGTGGCATCCTTCAGATGAGACAATAATAATAATTCTTGCATTTCATGCAATGCATTTGAGATGTCTCAAAGCGCTTCATAGAACACACTGTAAAGTGAACTGACTGTATATTTTGTGGATGAAACGCGGCAGCCAACTGCGCACAGCAGCGTCCCACAAACAGTCGTGGATTGAGTGACCACATTTTTTTCAAATATATATGTTTTTTGAAAGGATAATTACCACCTCCCACCCATCCACCGAGTTTATTACTTTCTGGACTGGATCCTAATGACCGTACCAGAAATCATAGGCTGTAACATGTGCCCTATTCATCATGGAAGTGGTCTGTGTTAATATATTTGTATAATAACTATTACTATTATTGTATATTCCAGCTCACACCTGTACTTAGATGGACCTCAGAGAAATACGTGCTTTAATATGCTTGAAAAGGTTTGTATGGTAACATCGCTGTCAGAACAGAATAAAAACTAATCTCTCCCTCTCCCCTCCCCCTCCCACACACCCCCTTTTAATGATGTAAACCCCAAAATTATTTAAGGACCTGAGCAATAATACCCTGCGATGGCACAAGTCACACTTCACTGCCGCTGCTAATTTCAGTGACAGCTGGAAAAATGTGCTCAGTTATGCTTACATTTATTTTCAGTTCTCTTAAATTATTTCATTAGTCATCCCCTACACATGCAATTAAAGTCCTGTCGCTGTGCGGGTTCGTGAATTGATAAAAACACTCTGATGCATGAACCCACTTCAGAACACAAGTCGTACAACCAACATGCTTTCGATCTCATCCCAAGCAACGTACAGGGTCATCCAAAACATTGTGATCCCATTATAATGTCTGATAAGTCTGAAAGAAACAACGATATATATTCATTTTAGACAATAGGGTAGTTATCATGACTTTTTAGTCACCCTGTAGAAAGCAGAGAACAGTCTCTTGTTACTGATCAACAGAAGGATATCCTGTGATGTTGAATTGTCTAAATAAAGACAAATGCGCTGAACGCAATAAATTGTTTCTGCGTCAACAGCGTTATTTAAAGGGCAGCTTGGGTTGCGTCTTCGATCAAGGGCACACGAGACTTCAGTGCTCAGAGAGATACTCGAAAGAAACAGGTTTGAATCAATGCAATAATTTGGATGAAGCAAGGAAAATGAAAGTGGAAATGACATACGTGGCATTTTTACAAAACAAATAGCACACATGCTGCAGATACAATGTGCCATTGATCGGTCCAGTTACTGATTATATGTGCTTATACATTATTAATTTGTGTTTTAAGCAAAACAGCCACATCGGGTGATTCAAAACCTGCTCAGTCAGAGTTTTTTAAACGCTGGTGATTTCTGCTATTCTGTACCAAGTTCTCTGTCAGTACAGAAGTTATGCTCCTCTCCCCAATGCCTCGACTGGAACAAGTTAGATACTGTGCCAGAAAATTATAATAATCCTTAAATTCCATCAACGACAACTTACATTAAGATAGTGCTCCTCACCCAGGGTAGTGTCCCAGAGTGCTTTCACATCAGGAGAATGTCACAAAGCACTTTACAGGACCTACTGTAAAGTTGAGTGACTGTTGTTTGTGGGCAAACCCACAGCAGCATTCCCAAACAGCTATGAAATGAATGACCAATGTTATTTGGGGGATTGTTGGTCAGGACACCAGGAGAAACTCCTTTCCCTTTTCGACTAGTACCACAGGATCTTAAATGACCGTTTTAATAGGCAGACGGAACCTCGGTTTTATCATCTCATCCGAAGGACGGCATCTCCACCAATGTAACATACCCTCAGAACTGCGCTGGGAGTGTTTTCGTCTGGAGTGTACGAGTTCCGAGTGCCAATGTGGAGCTTGAACCCTGCAACCTTCTGACTCAGAGGCGAGAGTGCTACCAACTGAGCTGGGTTGACACAATAACTCTGCGCACTCCTGGGCTATAGAATTCGGCTTTTGGTCACTTCATGGCACAGATACTGTGCTTGGAAACGTTTGACAAAATACTTAGGTCATTCATGGTGGTTCATAGTCATAAATTACAGAGCTTCGCGGCGGGGTGAGGGTGGTGGGTAGAGACTGCACTCAGGTCTATTCAAGAACATCCTTGATCAAGCCTTAATGCATCATCTCTAACTAGGGAACCCTGAGGAACTCACAGACCTCTCTGCTCATTCATTATTGACCAGATTAACAAGATAATTCTGAAGTCGTTGATAAAAATTCACTAACCGCAAGCAACTGTCTAATTAATTTAGAAGTCCGACATTCAAAGTGAGTTTAAACTAAATGGGCTCAATCTAGAAATTGAGGGGAAAAGTCTGCAGTGAATTCAGGTTAAGGAAAGCTGCAAGAGGTGGAGAGAGGAAGCGATCAAAAAAGATTGATTGTAGAAAATGATTGATAAGCAGAATGGGGGATATTTACATTTCCCACGCTCAAGAGTTCATGGAAACTTTTCTTTGAAAGAGTGATACATGAAATACCTTAGCTCACTTCAAAATGTAGGCATCCAAATGAACAGAAATCTAAGGTCTTTTCGACGTTGGTCTTGACTGGATAAGTCCTTTGCATACATAAAACCTTTGATGTATTATGTTTTGTAGTACTGTATATAATAGTCCTTGCATTTGATAAAAGTGCCTTATCACGTCATCGAGTCAACTCAAACAGTTCACGGAATTTATAATAATATACTATATTTACTGTAAAGGAGCGATTATGTAATTTGTAGGTGAACGGGACAGACAATTTTCATGTAACGATGCCTCACAAACAAGTCATGAAGTGAGTGGACCAATTTTATCTGGGGGCTTGTTGGCCAGGACAGTGAGAGAGAGAGAAACTCCTTTCTCTTTTTCTAGTAGTGCCACGGGACCTCGGTTTAAATTTTCATTTGAAGGACGGCACCTCCGATAATGCAGTGCAGCGCAGTGCAGAGCAAACCCCGGACTAGACTGTGATTGAAATTACTCGCAATCTTAATAGAGAGACCTCAGACAGATATAACAACAACATGCAGTTATATAGTGCCCTCCACGCAGGGAAGCGTCTCAGAGCGTCTCAGATACTGCAAAATAGTTTGTTAAAATTGTATTTTGCAAAACACAATCCTGGCACTGATTCTGATCCATGCACACACTGCAATGACAGCACTGTACTGTACACTAAATCCCTTCCCTTCTCTTCCCACTGAGCCGGACACTGAGGAAAGCTAATCTTTTGCACTTTCAGGTCTTTCTGCTGGAGAACATTTTTTTTGTCATAAGCCTTTCTTCAGCTGTAAAACCTCTGAACAAAAACACACACAAAAACACAAGCATTTTAGCTTCATTTACTGCACAAAGTTATAAGCTACTTTACCAGCCCCACAAACCCCCACATTCCTAATGTTACATCCTTCCCACAAAACAGTGAATGAAGCACCTCGTCCGAGGTCCCAGGATTTGTGCAGGGTGAGAAAAAAGATTGTGATTGCTTATCACAATCCGAACCTCAGTCCACAAATCCAGCTTTTTTTGCACTTGCCAGCACACAATTTTTATCTAAAATAAAACAAAAATATCACAATTTCTTTAAGACTTATTAGACGTTGTAATGGTATCACGACTCTTTGGTCACCCTGTACAGTTGTGTTCCTAAATCAAGGGTAATTTTTCCCTGTGAATAGAATAGCTTTGCCATTGTTGCTTTAACCCTCCAACCATTCTTTGACCTGATCCCACCCCATCCCCATTGCTATGTGGCGGAGCCTGAGACGCATCTCGTACCTATATTTCATCCCCGTCTGTTTGGCCGTCGACTCCTTCAAAGAGATGTGATGTTGAGGCATGAAGTGGCCCAGGCTCCGAGCAATGATTGCCACCGTGCGGAATTTCGCCCGAGCCCCATTCCCCAAGTTGGGGCTGCTGGAATTCTGCTTGCTGAGGTGCCGGTCATCACCATTCCGTGGCTTCAAGTTATGTTCGGTGCAAGCTATTGAGACTTGCATTTTTTTTGTTTGCTTGTCACAAGCCGCACCTCGGTCCACAAATCCAGCTTTTTTTGCACTGCTAACACACAATCAGGACAGCCAGGGAAACGCTGCCTTAATCCACACAGACAGCAAAGCATCACATCCTATAGGTCCTTGAGGTGCTATTGTATTCAGTAACAGATAAGTGCCACTGAATCAAGCAGTGACTGATGCAGTATATAATCAATAGCACCGTGTCCATGGGACAATGTCGAAACGCCTAGCGTGACATTAAACTTCCCCCCCACCCCCCCCCACCCCCACCACCACCACCACTTGCAGCTTTCTCTGTTGCTCCAAATCTGCAGTGAATTTTGACGAACTCTTTGAGGAAAGCGAGGCTGAGCGAGCGCTTTGATGTGCTGCAGTCTGGATTCTCCCAGGTTGTTAGAAGCACAGCTCCGGCTGCATCTTTTGTTACCGGTAGATCTGCATGATGTGATCGAGCTCCTCCTACATCCTCTCTCCCCCCCACCCACCCCCAACCCTCCCGCCCCCCACCGTTACTACTGAAGTGGTTTCATATTTTGAACGGTTTGTGAAAAACAGTGGGTTTTGCAGACACACACACAGACAGACAGACAGAATCCTGGTCAGGGCTCAGCTGACACACCTTTTTGGAAACCCTTAGAAATGAACCACATGGAGGGAGATGCAATGAGCTGAATTCTTTGCCTCCCCCCCCCACCCCACTTACCCTCTCCACCAACCCCCTCAAACACGCACATAAGCGCACCCCTGGCACAAGCGTACTGTCAAAAGAACGGAGTTCCCAAATAGAAGACAGTGGTTTGAACACTATGTCTCACAGAGGACAGATGAAGATTTACTGAGACCCATTCAACTGCCTCCCATCGCTTTAAACCTCAGGCATTGAGAAAGTATCAAAAGGTTTTAAAAGCTTAACATAGTCAGAATGTCTTGGCAGGAGTGCATCTTCACGGGGGGGGTAAATAAGCACAGATAGCTCTGGGCTCAGTGTCAGTGTGTGCTGACATTAGCAGCTTTCGTGCACCAGAGATTTCCTATCAATTTTTAATCTTCGTTTGAAGTTTGCTGGGAAAATATTTGTACATAATAATAATAATAATCACCATCCTTGCTTTTGATAATAGAGCTCCTGATCACATCTTTGAGACGTCTCAAAGCGCTTCATGGAATATACAGTAATGTGGAGTGACTGTGAAACCACCCAAACACATGAACACAGGAGATGTTTATAACTGGAATGCCATGCGTTTGTCTGAAACACATTTAGTGCTTTTGTAATGCTGAGAGGAACAAAAACAAACCACGATTAACAGCTGTTTATTTTTAGAAATCACAGCGCAGTGCCCCAGTAATCCAAACTTCTACTATAAAACAACATGAACCCTCTTAACATCTGCCGAGAGCACTGATAATCCGATAATTACGAGGCAAAGAGACGAATAAATGAAAGAGCCCATCTCAAGGTTTAACTCTTAAGAGCCTTGGAATCTAACAAAACATATGACAGAAATAGCCATTCAACCTTCTCCTTCCACAGGCATCACTGATCATCACTCCCTCAGACCATCTCTCGGGGAAAGCTTTGTACAGTTCCAGGGGGTTGTTGACAGCAGGTGGTTGCTGAATAGTGGGGATCACAGGTTTGACTGTGTGGACAACGTCCCACCCAATCCTTCACAGCATTTTCCTCAGTAAGAGCATTAGGTTTCCTGGCCAATAATTCTCAGGTTGTGAAAAATCCATTTAACGCATTTCAGGTTGCCTGATGTTCTATAAACCTTTTTCCTGATCTTACTGATCTTAATATATCTTCTGCTGTTAACAACTTAAACAAGGTTATTGGAAGCCTGCTTTGGGCTGTGTGCAATGTGTTTTTCTATTGCTTTCCAACCTCCTGTAATACAGTTTATTTCAGAACCCGGTCAATCTGTGATTGTTTGTGGGACGCTGCTGTGCGCAATTGGCTGCCGCTTTTTGCCCACACAATTTACAGTTTATTCACTTTACAGCATATTCTCTGAAGCGCTTTGAGATGCCCCAAAGAGAAAAGGTGCTATATCAAATGCAAGGATTATTACAATAATGACGACCACTAATTCAATCGTCAAACTGATATCATCAGCAGCAAAACATCCTCACACTGCATACAGCAAACCTCCCTTTACCGTAGTATTGAGCGGAAGGGTTATTCTACAGAGATACAAATACAGTCCTTGAGCGTTTACTTTACCCTTCCAATGCACTCAAGTGATCTCTAGCGTGCTTAAGCAGTATTTCATGCAGATACAGCTGGAGGACATTAAGGCTAACACAGTAATCCCTGTACAGTACATTAATTGCTTCTCAGAATGTCACTCACTCACTCTGCCAAAACATCATCTTTTAAAAAATATTTTTATTATTTCTTAGGTCAGTGCAATTTATACCTGGTTATTTATACCTCAAGATTTATGTGGCATCTCTCTTTCTCCTCTCTGCTCCCCCACCTCCTTTCCCCATGGCCTTACCATCTCAATGTAACCAAGTCAAATTACTGTAACTCAGCCCTGACTTGTCCATCGACCGAGCCAGGAGTGTAGCACTGGCCGGTCAGAGAGCTGCGATCTGCACAGACATTGCAGCTTCTTTGCCCAACAGAGGATTTTTCCGTTTGTGAAATATTACTAAATATTAACACTATTTGCAGCGAGAATTCGCTGATTTTGACCGTCGGGCTGCTTACAACCAATCTTGACTATCTCGTTTGCACCCTGGGGTGGCCGGACTGAGTCGATGTAAATCAGAGTCCAGCTCGATACTAAGGGAAACGCAGCCTCAGTTAAGAAAAAGCAACAATTGGAATGTTGAGCTGGAAATAAATAAACACTCAAGCGATATAGAATGGCTGTTTGTTGGGCATCTCTGTGTTGTGCGCAAATTTGCTGCTGGTTCATTCATGGAGCTCAGTAGTTAGAGCACTCACCTCGCAAGCGAGAGCACCTGGGTTCGATTCCCGGGCAGGGCGAAATGTTGGGCAAGTTTCCTTACTCCACACGCCTCTGTTCTGTTCACCTGGTAGTAAGTAGTGTAACCCAGTTGTTAGTTGATTGGCAGATCGCTTTTCCAGGGATAATAATCCCATCCCCAAAAAAATTGGGGTCATTCAATCCACCACTGTTTGTGGGACGCTGCTGTGCGCAATTGGCTGCCTCGTTTCGCCCACAAAATATACAGTCAATTCACTTTACTGTATATTCTGTGAAGCGTTTTGAGACGTCTCGAAGAAGTGATAAGGCGCTCTATCAAATACAAGGATTATTACTATTATTCAGCTACAAAATACACAACCACTCACTCTGTAGTCAAAGGGCAGTGCTTTGAAACGTCCTCCTGATTTGAGGGGATGCCATGTCAAATGCAAGGATTATTATTACTATATTCATACAATTTTGAATGCTGACGTATCAGCATGGTCCAACTGATGCCGCAAAGTTAAGGTGACCGCAAGTTTCCTGTAAAATCTTGTTAGCTTTGGAGCGAAAGGCTGAACAGGTCACTGAATCACCACAGGAGGTTGGCCTCAAAGTGCTTTCATTAAACCCAAGATTATTGCCTAAAGAGGTTAAAGGGTTTGATCAAGAACACTCCTGAAGCATGATTCGCCAGGGCAATCAAACTGCTACACTTTCTGAGACGTTAACACGACATGATGGGCACTATACAAATGCAAGTTGTTGTCGTAGGCATCTAATTAAATTCAGAAGATTTTTTTTTGGAAGCACCGAAGATTTCTTTCTGATCATTTTAATTTGTGCTAATTTTTAATCTTGGCAGTAAGATGTATAAATTACAGATGATAGCTTCCTAGGCACAGTATTACTATCCTTATTAATACCTTTTTGCCCTAGGGTCAAAAAAGAATTGTTCAGCCACTGTATAAAAATATACAATTAATGGCACTAATTTTCGTGGGTCATGAGCACACTGAAAAATAAAAATGTAAGCTGCCTGCAGGACTTAGAGCTCACTAAGTTCAGCCTTGTCACAGTACATAAGAGGAAGCACATCAGATACACGAACAGCTAAGATCTTCACAGCTTTAAACATAAAACTTGGAAAATGTTTGAACGCCTATTGATATATTCTAAGCAGGTAAAAGGTGGCTAACAATTACATGTTTTGGATCTTTGTTGGCCTCAGTGAAGTGTTTTCCAATTTTCTCCAAATTGCGAAATTTTAAGTAAAAGAGATTTATTTATTAAAAATCGTTCCGATCTACAAAACCGGCTGACGTCCCGGGTCGTAAGATCAACAGGGGCCTCACTTCTTGTGCCGGAAGTGACACGAGTTGTGTACCTGTTACGTTAGGCATGAAATGATGTCATGGCAACCTTCCAGAAGATTGCAAAAAAATCCAAGAAAAAATGCCAAATCCCCAAATGATATTTTAAACAAGACCTCTCACTATCCTGAATAGATTAGTTGGTTGAGCAGCAGATGTAGGAGAGAAGGTTCGGAGTTTGAATCCCAATGGGCTCAGTCAGTATTTCGAGATTGATAAAAGTGAAGCACTATATCTTTCTGGGAATGGAGGAAAGAGAACATGAGGATCTCCCTGGGGCTGAATTGACGGGTGATAGAGCCAGGCAGGTCCCCAATCAATCCAAGCCACTGTTGATGGTTGACCAACCTGGCTGGGTGCTCAGTTCTACTTGGGAGTTTTACACACATCTTCAAACAAGGATGCCAAAGCCTTGGGTCGCTCTGGCGGTCCTCCCTGGTCCTACCTGGACAGATACTGTGCTGGCTGCATTAATTAACCATGAACTCGATACAAAACAGATTAATAGTTCTTGGGAAAGAAATAAAATGGTTGTTTGCCAGCCAACATACAGCAGAAGACATGCACAGCATCCAATTGTCATGCCTGTGCCCACCCACCCCAGGTTTCAGAGGTCGCTGAGTTGAACAGTCTGGATCTAGATATTTGTGAATATCTGTTAGATCATTACAAACATAGAAACAGGAGTAGGCCATTCAGCCCCTTGAGCCTGTTCCGCCATTCTATAAGACCAAGGCTGATCTGTACTTCAAGGCAATTACCCACCTTTGGCCCGTGTCCCTTGATACCCTGACCTAACAAATATCTATCCATTACACATCATATACATAAGACAAGGAACTTTCTACTTGTGGCATTATCCCCAATATGTAATATATATAAATATATATAGGCAGGACCTGTCACACCAGTGCTTAATATGGACGAGTACAATGCAA